GCAGTAATAAAACTTATTTTCAGTTGTATATTTATTAGAGGCATTATAGTATAATGGCTAGGAGCTTCAGCTCTGGAGTCAGACTGCCAGGATTCAAATACTGGTTCTCTCATTTATAGATGTATGAACTTGAGTAAATACTTGGCCTCCCTCTCTGTGCCTCAGTTCCCTCTTCTGCAAAATAGTAATAATGGTACATACTTTCTTGGGGTGCTTCAAGATTATAACACATAACACTTACAAAGTACTTGCAGGTAGTACCAGACACATAGTTGATGACCAATAAACACTTTTAAAGAGAGCTGGTGGAGAAATTGAAATTATGGCTTAAGTAACAATTAGGATTTCTCAATTATCCACATCTTCTTTCCACGTAATTTCAGATACAAAAAAGAAAAAGAAGAGAAAAAAGTGGTACAGGTAGTAGTTAGAAGTCCTCAAAAGAAAGATCTTGCATGTAGCTACATTCATTTAAAAAAAAAAGATAGGTAAATAAGAAATTTCATCTACTGACAGTGCATAAATATGCAGTATGGCATAGGTGTAGTCAAGCAAATGGAAAAATATGAATCAGAGTAGGAAGGCATTTTGCCTTACCTGCTTTTCCGTTTTCGAGGTGGTTTCTCCACTGTGCCAGTCAATCTACAGACCAAACAAATAATATGGTAACTAAAAGTAACATAGAAGCCCACATCTCCGGGCCCAACAGAGCCAGTCAAGAACTCAGTATACCATCCTCGCTAAGCCCATACCTGACCTTCCAAACGCCTTAAGCTCTGCTTTTCCTATTGACCAAGACCCAGCAATCTTGGGAGTCCCTGTTCCCCTAATGTCTGCTGAGCTCAAACCCTGCCCTGCCTCCTGGTCCCTCACTCCGTCCTCAGCTCCTATTCTTCAGAGACCAGCTCCCCAAAACCACCCACCTCCACCTACTCATTGTCTGCCTCGTCACCCCCGAAATCCCCTCCGACCTCCCACTCCCCGTGCTCACACGCTCCCGAGTGTGCGCTGCGCCTCCGAGCCCCGCCCCTCCAGGCCCCGCGCCCCCCGCATTCCGCGGTGCCTCTACGGGGCGCGCGCAATGCCCCTCCCGGCCCAGCGCCCCAGCCTCATCCCTCGGCGCCCCTTCCCTCACACGCCCCTCTCATTCGGCCTTGAGGATGCGATCGGCGCCCAGCCGCTCCCCCACCCTTGGAGCCCCCGAGTTCTCCCCAGACAACCCCGGCCCTTCCAGTCTCGGGGCCCCGAACGCTACACGGCCCCGAGCCGCTGCCCATGGGCCCGCTCCCAAGCCCCCACCCCATCCCTAACCCCGACAGCCACGCCGCCCCCGCCCCACCTGGGGGCCAGGCGACTCCGCGGCTGCTGGGGCTGCCGGGCTCCTCTGACCATCCGGCTCCGGCTCCGCCGCGGGAGCTGCTCCGGCGGCCGCAGGGCTCGCTCGGGAAGCTGAGGCGGCGGAGGCTGGAGTAGGCGGAGAGGCGGGAGGAGGGCGTCGCGCCTCGGCCAGGCTTGCCGCGGGGCCCGCCTCCTCCGCGCCCCTCCTCGACTCCTATTGGCCATAGCTATAGTGTGGCCGCAAGCCTCGCGGCCGATTGGTCGTGCGGGCCGTCACATCCCGCGCACCTAGAGTTTGGTTGAGACTGCAGGTGGCGGCGGAGGTGCCTTAGAGACTGCGAGCTGGGCTAGGGGGGAACCTAAACGCCACCGTGCGCCCGAAACTAGAAACTGCACCTTCAGCGCCAGACACCTGCCGACAGGTTCTGGCTCTGCGTCCTGCATCCCACACACCTGCTGGCGCCCCCCAACACTGCACCGCAGCCGGGACCAACAGCCAAGCACTAGAAATTTCCCAAACTCCTCTGACAGGTGCGACATTGAGGTAAACTCTCCAAACGGAGCTTCACTTTGAACCAACTTGTCTGCGATCCCTGACTCTTTCAGACTGAAATGTCTCGCAGCTCAGATACCCTTCATAGAGAATCCAGCTAGACTGTGAGAGTCTACCAAAATAAACATGGTTTAGATGCTCAGTCCTCTGCAGAAAAGATGATGAGCTCAGCTATCGGCTCCCAACGAAGCAAGGGTTTTTTAAATTACCATGAAAGAAAAGTCAAACTGCAAACAGAATATAACTGAAAGCAGTAAGTCCCCTTTTGAAAGGCCTAGAATTGATCCCTGAGTGTGTGCTACCCATCCTGTGATACTGCAAATGATTGTAAATCCTAAGCCAGTTAATTCTAAAATTTTCTAAATTTCTGCTAAATTTAAATTTTAAATATTGTTGACACACCAAAGCATGAAAGACTACCACTACAAATGCACAAAAAATTCAGTTGCCTACCCTCTTATACTTCAAAAGGCCATCCTTGAGAAAAACATTGTAAAATTCCTCCTTTAATGTGGTATATATACCCTTCAACCTCTCTACATTCTTTGTGCAGTTTTTGTTTGGTTGATCCATGGCATCTCTTTGGGTCTGGTAGGAGGCATAAAAATTTCTCTTAAATGTGACAGCCTAGAGTAATACACACCAACAGATTGGGGACAAATCTCTCACCGACTTTCACAAATGGTAAAAAAAATGGTACTAGTTTTTCACAGAACTAAACTTACTCGGTGCAAAAAGCTGTCCTTTATTCTAATGGCTTTTTATTTTTTTATCTTTCATGTTAAAAATGACCCTCCTTTGAAATGATGAATTACAGAGGGATTTTTTAATGGCTTTGACAAGGAAAAGAATGTCAAATTTCTGTTTCCCCAAATTAATATTTTATGTAATCCCAAAGTCAAAGAACAACAAACCTTCTCAACCCCAAAGAACAGTATCCACCCTTACCATCACCAAGCCAGAAAGGAGAAAGAACCTCAGAATAATTTGCCAAACAAGACTGGAGGAGATAGTGTAGGAGTCCTGGTGGGAAGATCATCAACTCAGTAGGAAACTAATCTTAAAACATCACTCATTGTGTTTCTTAAAATATGAATTGAAATCCTCTATCTGGTTATTTATAATCAGCTGACACCTCTTTGATACATAGTACTATTAACAGAGCTGCAGCTACTCATCTCTTATGCCCTTCGAAGACGTAGCCTTAAATCCTATCCTCGTGTCATGTCCAAGTCCTAGTAATCTCTGCTTCTGTGCTTTTTGTTGAAGAAATGCACATGCCATCATTCTAGTCCACGTTTAACTCACACATCCTCTTATAAGCCTTCCCCAATTACTCCAACCTACAACAAACATTTCCTTCTCCAAATCTGCTGTACTTCCTTAAGCTACACTATGTCAGCAATTATATATTGCCTTGGATTAATCTTACTTCCCAACTACACTGAATTTGGGCAAATGCTATCTGAGTAAGCCCTCAAAAAACAGCGGTTAGGGGCCAGAGATGGAGTGCTTTATATGTGGTAATTTTAATCCTGAGATCAACCTTGCATTGTATTCTCGTATTTTAAGACATAATTTCAAGATTCAGAGAACACAACTTACTCAAGGTCACGCAGCTACAACCAATATTGCTTGAAATGACTTAAGAGGTACTCTGGTATGCCCTAAAGGGGTTCAAATTCCAGCTCTTCTGTGCACCTTGGGCAAATTACCTAAGCACCCTAAGGCTGTTTCATCTGTATTGAAGAAAAAAAAGAGGAATATAGTCATAGAGCTATCATAAGGGTAACACAAAATAGGACATGTACAGTATTTAATTAAGTATGCTCAATACAGGTTAGATGCTATTACCGCCTGGCAGAGCTGGATTTTTTACCTAGTCTAATCCCAAAGTCTGTATCTTTTCCATTCCATAATGCCTCCATGCAGTCTTTTATATCCCACCACCATTTACACACAAAAGCAGAGTACTAAGAACAATAGCGGTGCCCAGAGATTGAGTAGAATACACTATGTAACAAGTATTTTTGTTTATACACACAAAAAAATCTTCATTAATTTCATACCTTCTTGAATTAAGACATTTGAGTGACTCAAGCCAGCTTAAGCTTACTCTCAATGAGGGTAAAAAAGGCATATATTCACAGGCTGATTGACAAGAAAACAGCAACTTGGTAAGAGGGGATTAAGGAACCAACCATCCCCAATCATCTACTGTTGGCATCATGCTAGGGGACTTTCCACATGCTTCTTTCTGGTGTTTTGCTATTGTATACTTTATCAGCAAGACTACACACCATAAAAACACAATTGAAAGGTTGTGACAATCTCACAATGCATGATTCTAGGCACGGGATCCTGGACATAACAGTGAATACTGCCTTTAAAGAACTGGAACACTCAGCTCGGAGTCAAATGCAGAACAAGAAAGTTTCACTTCTGTTTACTAGGCTAAGCAATCAAGTGAAGGAATAGCATTTTTTAATTTGTTATACACGATGCTAACTTACTGGGACATACTGCAAACTAGGGACTAAATTTTTTTGACAAACTTCCTATAATTTTTTATTAATTTACACTGAGAATATAGCACCTTTCATCCAATGAACTGAAGGTGCTTTACAAACATTAGCATTTAAAAAACAATTACATTTAAGAATCTGGATTCTTGCTGTTAAATCTCTTCAACTCCAGAAACACAATTTGCTGGAGGCTGATGGAAAGCAATTCTATTTCCGACAATGAAAGATGCTCAGGAAGAGTTCAGCTTTGCTTTCACAATACAGGTATTTTCCAAACCCTGGTGCTGGGCTTACAAAGCAAAACACAAAAACCTTAATGCAATGAACAATATTTCAAATGCAAAACCCAGGGATTGAAACATTAAAATCTACCAACAGTTCTAGACATCCAGACGGAGTAGGAGCTGATGCAGGTTGCATATTAAGACATGCTCTTGATGGAGGCTTTTTAGGATCACACCCAAATGAACACATTTGAAGTGGTGAGATTTTTCAAGAAAAAGCATTAACCTACAAAAAGCTAGCCAAGAGCATATCATGAAAATTAGGACATGGAGTAACTGGCAATTAAAAGTAGACAGTTCTCACTAGAGCCTAGGATACTTTATTAGAAACCAAGTATATCATAGGCAAATAAAAAGTTATTACCCCCATCAATACAATATAAGGGATTTTACATTCAGCCTAGATACAGGAAATAACAGATTCTCCTGCCTACAAAACGTAACTTGCAAGTATCTTCCACCACATGAGTACTCTGTATAATACATAGCCCTTGTTGATTAGAGAGAGCCAAATATTCCTTTTAGGCTTACAAAGTCCAAACATTCACTCTCTTCCCTTACATGTCTAATAGTAAAACTTTTTTTTCATGCAAAAAGGTTATGTAACAAGTTGTGTTCAAGGTTATGTATTCAGTTGAAGAGAAAAAAAAAATCAGGCAAAACAGAGATGGCAGTTAAGGAATGGACAGAATATTATTGGCACATGCCCCAACTACTGACAAACAAATGCAGTACACCATGACTTAAAAGTAAAAATCACATTACAGGGATGACTAAAACAACTACATCAATCTAAGCTAAGGAGCATCAAATGCGAAGGGAGGCCTGAGGGTTACTGGTTTTATTGGTACAACTTAAAAGCAGTCAAGAGCAAGCACTTAAATACAATTATGATAACAGAAAAAAATACTGCAGAGAGCTGTTTAAAGACCACACCAAGTTGTCTGGGCCATTAATTTCCAGTGTTTCATAATTAGTAAAATACATAGCTAAATATTCCTGTAAAATAAAATTACCTTTCCCTCTGATTTACGCTGGGGTCACGGCAATAGCACAAAGCTACTGACCCCACAGTTCAAGTGTGTGCAGCACATGTCTCAGCCACTTCTGTAATACAGTGATCACGATTAAAGAGTAACAAGGAGCTGGGGAATGGAGGAAAAGAAATCAAAACAGTATTGTGCTTATTTAATACAAGAAAAACCCTGATGAAAAATTATATGCCAAGAAGCTTAGACTATAAACATTTTTATTGCATTTTTAGGTAACCTGGAAGTTCTTATCCTGAAGGGGAAAAGTGGGTTTTCAAAGCTACCTGAACAGATGCTAAAGTGCTTTATTAATTGGCTGGCTTCACAAAGATTTCCTGGACTGACAAAAATTAATTATAGTAGTAAAGGGATACCAAGTATTTCACAAAGTGGTAAATTCCAACATCATTTATGACCACAGTCATAAGGGACACTGGAACACTTGTCCTTAGTTAAGTGGACAGTTGCATATCAAGAACTGATCATCACAACCCTTTGGATATTCAAATTACTTACACAAAGCCAAAACATGGTATCACAGACCTTTACAAAAAAGGACATTTGTTTCTTTCTATACTTCTTAAAATCTGCTTCAAATTACAGTTCACAAATACAAGAGTCCTGACTTTTCAAGCTTTCCAGTTAAAAAATGAACACTTTCTAAAAGTTAAGGTGAAGTGTTACAGCATGAGAAGAATGTTTCCTATTGAAAAGTACACAGATTTTACTTAGTTGATACTCATGATAAATTGTAAACTGGATTGATCACATTCTACTCAACTGCTATCAAATGAATACATCAGTATTACAAGTATTAAATGTTTTTCTATTACTAGAGAGGATATAAACCAAAACATTAATATGGCAGTTATGTTCTTTAGGCACAGTTTAGTAATTTCTTTTTTTAAATAAATAGTACTGAATTTCAATTGGAGTTTTAAACTCAATAACCAAAGGGTTAAGAGTTCTGATTAGAAAAAAGAAAAAAAAGAATAAACCAACAATGTAAGCTGTTTAAAATTTCTAACACTTTAACCTATCTGGGTTTTATTTAAGATTACTTTATTAAAAAATACAATGAATCTGAAAAAAGATCAATACAATTATCTTAATGTACAAAGTCATAAGCTGTAGCAGTTTTTAACTAAAATTTAAAAACGCAACAAGGAGGGCAGCCCTTTAGAGCAATTTATTTTATATCCATTTAAAATATCATCCAACAAAGGACAATGAAGTTTACAGCTGGGACAGGTATACAGAACTCGAGGCATTTGCAGTCCATCATGCCTACTGAATAACAACTTTGCTGCTGAAATTTCTTAAAACTTACCAAACTAAAACAAAGGGCTGACTGATACAAAAGGAGTAGTATTTCAGTGTAGTCTGTTCTGTCAATTGGCTTTTTAAAAAAAGGAAACACATCCTGTGTTCCCCACACCAGTAAATAAGCAAGAGCTACATGCAGCAGTGTGAGTATTAAGACATTTCTCAAGTCTTCTCAAATGAGTCCAAGGTGGGGATGGGATCCGGGAGAAAATGATAGAAAACATTGTTATAGACACCGTAACAAACAATAAATTTAGATAATTTAAAATAAAAAAAAAAAAGGCAAGAGGCAGCATTTCAGCAGCAAAGTGCTCAATAAAAAGTATATTGTAGAGGGTAATACACAAAAGTTGGGGTAAGAGGGCACAAAAATGGGTCAGCAGGATGGGCGAAGTCCTCAAAGGAAATACGGCGTCGTCGTTCTGGGAGGAATAACACGTTCTGAATCTGGAACTGCCCGGAATAACTTTGGTTCTCTTGTATTTACATCTTTGAAGACCATGATCGAAGCAATATTTCCACAACGATAGCAGTAATTAGGCGCAGACCACACTGTTACCAGCTTCTCATCAAACATAAATTTATAGCCTTCGTGTACTAGTTGGTGTGCTCTGCAGATGAGTTTTAAGTTGTTGATATGAACAAACTGAAATTTGGAAAGGTAATTTGTTAAGTATTCAGCATATTAAACAACAAAAATCAACCTACATATATAAGAAAATAATCCTTTAAATAAAGTATAAATCTTTTTACTTCTAAAGTTTTCACGATTAGAGGACCCATTCTACAGTTGGTCCCCACTAATTTCAATAAATTACAGGCAAGTAGAGCTGCTTTGGCATGAGTTATAGAAATCACACAGTCACATAACTAGTTAGAAGTTTCTGACAGAAAAGCTTCCAGAAAAGTACTATCAGATATGAAACAAAGTTTTTATGGTTTAATAATAATATATTACTATCAATATCTGTCATTTACTGAGGATTTAGTATGGTTAACAAAAATTCTGAGATTATCTTTCTTTTGCAATGTAGGGAAACAAAGACTCAGACAAGATAAATAACTTAAGTTGAATCTAGCTCTCTAACTCTATTATGCTCAGTAACTTCCCCATATAAGCTCATCTCTTGTGTGTGTATATGTGTATGTTTGTGTATATATGTGGATATTTTTAAAAAATCAAAAACAGTTGAGCCTCAAAGTCAGCTGTTAACAATATATGCATATATCAATATCATGTTGTACACCAAAAATGTCAAATATATCTCAATTTAAAAAAATATAAAGAAATATATATGTATATATAAATTTAAAAACTTGCTATCTTGCCCTTTGTATCTCATTACTCAATTGCAATATTTGAAAGAAAAGGAACATTTATTTTACACATATTTCCAAGTGGATACTGAAAGAGGTGTGTTCATTATGTGATCTCATTTAACCACTAGGGAAAGACATATATATGATAAACTAGATGAGAAATTATAAATCCATAACCACCATAGTTTGAGTAAACTACACTAGCAGTCTGTTATCTATAGCCACCATAGTTCTTTATGTAACCCATTAGCAATCACCAAACCACCTTTCAAAAAATGGCAGCCTTACCTCATTTGTGACCTTTGCGCCAAAAAGCCAGCCTGCGCCTCGGGGACTGATTGCCCAAGTATCCACATCTTCAGGATCAGACCAAACCAGATCACAAAATGCTCCTTTATGAGGAATTTCCTGATTCCGTTCAATGGTTCGAATTTGATCCAGTGTTTTGATATCAGGAGATAAACCACCATGAACACACAAAATCTGCTCATCTATTAACTAGCAAAAAAGGATAGAGAGCTGAATGTATAATAAACTCAGCCAGGTATCTAAATTCATCAATGAATGCCAATGATATTGATGCAACTGAGATGGCAATTAGATAAAACTATGCAAAGTGCTAAAGGCAGGAAAACACTTAAAGTTTTAAGAAAGTGTACATAAACTTACAGCTGCTACTGTGAGCATGTCAAAAACTTTGGTACAATATCTCCAGGCATTAGCATTTCCATATTTGGTCTGGCACTCATCTATGAAAGAAACGGAAGAGCTCTCATTAATGAAGTTCTGAATTTGCCAATAAAAATAAAGAATACAGCCATTACTAGGACAACAGAAATTCAGTTTAAACTAGGACAGCAAGTTATGACACATATTTAGCCCTAGTAGGTCTTCCATATAGAGCCAGGAGACCAGTTCATCTAACTACTCTAAGAATTTAATCCTGCTTTTTATTTGAGAAGTGGCCCTAAGCAGCAGCTGAAATTATTGATCAAAATGCTATGACTTAGAAGAGCTAAATATTAATTTCACAACACCCAAAGTAAATGCTTTTGTCTACTGCATTATTAATACTGGGCAATTCTTTCAGAGTAACTTATTTAAAGTGACTCTCTTTTTCTAGCAGGATTCTCAAACAAATTAGAAGACCCTTAATTCTAGAAGCATGGGTAATTCCCAGCTTAACATTTTCCAGGCCTAGGTTGTCTCTTCGGAGATTTTCTGCAAACTGTGCAAGAAAATACAAGCTCCAGTAAGTACACCTGTAATCATCACTGAGACCAGACTGCCAATCAGTTCTTACGTATTCCCAGCTGAGCACTCTCTCTACAACAGTAATAGGATACATATCTCTTCTTTCAATGAATACTAAAGAAGTTCTGCTCTTTGGCTTTCTTCCTTAATTTTGAAAAAACTGACAGTACCACTATTGCCCTGTTTATAGCTAAAAGTGATAGAGAAGACTATGGGATATGGTCACTCCTCATGGTTTATTTTTTTTTCAGAGCAGAGTAGTTTATTGGGAATATGTAAAGCCAAGGAGCACAGAATGGTGGTGATTTTTTTTCTTTCCTCCTTGGTCCTCTCCTCCTTGATCATGTTCTCAGCTTAGCTGACCCTTTTATTGTCTTTCCACATCTCTCACGCCACTATCTTGAATCCCCTCCTCATTTTTTAAAGTAGATCTCTACGTGAAGTAGGATCCATATGTACACCTGCATGACAGAGCTCTATCAACAGGTTCAACCTGCAGTCAGGAATCTTGCATTTTTCATCTTCACACATACACAAAGTACTTGGCTCATAATAACTGCTCAGTATATACTTACCAGCATGAACTGAAGACCTAATATAATTAATTAGTAACTTTTTATGGACATTTTTACTACTTTAAAATCCATGTTAAGTCCCACGATGACTAAAGTTTTCTCCCCTCTAAGGATCTGGTGGGCTTTCTTTTTAAACAGAACCATAGATGAGCATTAGATGAACATAGTGTAGAAACAAGGAAATTCCACACTAAATGTTGTGGCTGTTGTTATTTTCTTCAGTCAGAGCATCTTGATCAAAATGTCCTCCTTCCTTTTTCCCTTTTATTCCTTTTGCTTTACTTTGATAAATGTTGGTCAAAGTCTGGGGTATAATTACATGTATAACATTCATCTTACACAGCTGGAGCCAGTTGCTTTCACTAACCTAATACTCACAGTATGTATTACCCAAAATACTGACTAGTTTGCAAAAGAATCAAAACCTTTTATTTCAAATGGTACACTTGGTATTTTGTGAATGAAAATCAGAAGTAACTTGTAGAAAGGAGACAAATATTAGCCATCCAAATTATTAAATTACTATTAGCAAAGTTATATGAACAATATATTATCAAAATTTCTAATTGACAAGAGCAGACAAACTGAAGAGTAAGACAGTTCAGCTTATCTTTATAATGACAGAAGATAATGCAAAATAAAAAATCTAAAACTAAAGGGTTATGAGATTAATATCTTTTCAAATCTCTCAATACCTGCCTTAATAATTGTGTTCAAGGAAAAGTCATTAATAATCTCTCAATAGCTCTGCCTTCAAAGAGCTTCCTAAACTCATTTTTTTTTAAATTTTCACCCATATAAAAGTTTTATAGAAGAAGCTATTTTGCTTTTAATGGCTGAGTTCTGCTTCTGACCCCAGAGGTCTTGGCACTCTCTGGAACAAGCACACAGATAAAACTATTTTATATTTATATTCATATATACTTGGTGTTTTATATATACCAAGCACACAGACACACACACAGAGACACATATATATGACACATAAAATATCCTTTCACATATATATCTTGTCATATATATATATGTAAGAGGATATTGACTCAACTAATGTTTTACAGCAACTTAAAAACAACTCCACTGTCCAATGTTAAAGCAACTGGGTTAAATCAACTATATATATACATCCATACAGTATAATAAAGCACAGCTATAAAAATAATATCAATAAAGTGAAAGTGCTGGTCATAATATTAGGTGAAAGCAAGCAGGTATGATCCCATTTTAGTGTGGTAGGTATGAGTACACACACATATATGTATACATATATACAGACCAGGNTAGTATACTATTTACACTTCCCATTAAGTCTCATTAATATTACTTGGGTCAATATTAGACCAATGGGAAAAGAGCTAAAATAGGAAAGTGACCCAGAAACTTTCAGAAAGAAGGAAAGTGATAGGATTCAGATAAAGCTCAACAGTAACATTACATTCCAAAAGGAAAATAAGCAAATATCTACCTTAATAGCAAATGTTTATGTGTATATCTTTATTGATCTGCAAATTAACAGCAGATGAAAATGAATGCTCAAAAAAAAAGTCTGACAAATAACAATACATTGAAGATTTATGCCTTAAACCTATGGTCCCAGGATATTTTTCTGCCCAACAATTACTTAGGGCTAAAACCTAATCCAAATAGGAATTTACCAAAGCAGTTATTTTCAACTAGAGGACACAGCAGAATGCAGAGAAGTACAGAGTTACTTTTTCCTTTATTTAAATAGTGGTTGCCATGTGGCAAGGAAATCATGTAATTTACATGTAATATGTCAGATCTTTCCATTTTAAGTAAGAACTTGGTGGTATTGATGTTTACATACCATAAATATGTAGTTTGTGTCAGGAACCTGACCTCCAGTTCTGAATAGTTCACAAAGGTCATAAAACTATAAAAGAAAGGTAATATATGCTGATTACAAATTCCTGTGAAGGAGCAAAATAATAAAAACAGAGTGAAATGTGCAAAGCAACAGTTAATTAAGAGGACTTTAAATATTTACATTTATAAGAAGAAGAAGTGTAAGGAAAACTGCCAGGCATACAACTGCCAGTCTAAAAAAAAAGTGCTAAAATACAGCTCACAGTTGCCATGAAAGTCATTCCTAAATTATCAAAATTATAGGCCCCCCTCAAAATTCTTTCATACATCTCCTCAACCTATCACTTGAGAGAATGTGAAATCATTTAATCTATTCAGTTACCTAATTTGTCAATATGCTAACCTAACGGCCTGCCCCACAATCAGCACCTATTTTAATGAGACAAAAGAAAATAAGTGGATAAGAATTTCTTTCAAAGAAAGAACAGATCAACCTACTATCCAACACTCTACTGTTGGAGATGTGTATCCTCAGTCTCCATAGCTCTGGAGTGTCTTCTTGATAATCAGTAAAAAAAATAATTTTTAACAATAAAAATCAGGAAAAAATGTATTTCTTTATAATCTACTTGACAGAAAACTGGTAAGTAACCAATTGCGCATTTGGTGACTTCAGTCTACTAGATTCCCAATCCTAATTCTTAAAGAAAACTACACATTTTTTCTGAAAATGATTTGGGATTAAAGGAATTGACTATAATATACTGTACCTACTACAAATGATTTCCTATACACTTATCTCTTATTAAAACCTTAAACATGAAGTTACTAAAACAGTACAAGAATCTTAGTCACAGTGAACAATTTAAATAGTAACTACTGAAAGACAGAGCACTACCTTTTGTAACAATGTTTCTTCTTAAGTCTGAAGAGTTGTTACTTCCTTAGACTAAAAAGAAAACTTCACAAACTTTAGCATTAAAGCTGTCCTCTCACTAAAATTATCAAGTAAACAAATGTTCATTCTCAAACAAGTGGCAGACTATTATTTGTTCAAAATATTTGCTGTTTGTTTCTACTATGTGGAGTCCTTCCCTTTCAAGAGTTATACTCTCATTTTCCACCCCACAGATGTGTATGATGGCATATGTGTGTCATACATTATTTACATATACATTTATAAAAATGCACACACAGTCGAAGTAAAAAAAATACATATGCCTACATATATATACACACACTCTCAATATATGTGTGTGTACATATATATATACATATATATTTCATTATATACATCATCCAAAAACCATGTGTGTCTTATCTGGCTTAGTAATTCCACCTCTGTGACTGTATCCTAAAGGCAAAACAACAACAAAAAAATCAAATGCTGTGTAAATATATAGAAAATGTGTTAAACCATCATGTATAATAACAAAAGAAACAACCTTCATGACTAACATAAGGGAATATTTAATAACCTATGATCTACCTACTCAAGAACTTGGACCTTACATGATCATGAATAATTATGATGGAAACTACATAGCAAAATGGAAAAATTATTTAAGGAAAAGGATGGAACCCAAATCTATACCTATAACTACACAAGTTTACTATGTAAAAATTAGGTATACATACAAAGACAAGAAGAGAACATTAAAAAGTTTTATAAAACAGTTACTTTCATAAAACTGTGGTAGAAGAGTAAGTGCCCTTAAACTTTTCTATTGCTGTTTATAGAAACATGTCCTTGACTAAAAGCTTTATAAGTTTCCATTTACCCTAGATATATTTAATGTATATTTTTCATATCACAGACACTCTGTAAATGTTCTCATTTTAAAACTGTGGAATTTCATTCCATCATGAGAAGGAAGGAAACAGGTGGACAGCTCAGTAGTTTTTAAACTTTTTGGTTTCATGATTCACTCAGTCTTAAAAAAATTATACGTCCCTGATTAAAAGATGGTGGCGTGACAGGTGAGACAGAGGCCTCCTCCTAAAATCGCACATAATACAAAAGTTAATACAACTATCCTGAAAGAGCAACAGAAAAGAAGGCTGAGCTAGACTGCATACACCTAGAGAAAAGAATGGAGTTCACGGAACAGGGTAATGTACCAAAGCCGAGACTGGGTGGAACCCAAGCCCTTCCCCCACCCCAGCTCACAGGTAGGAGGAAGAGACTTGGAGCGGGGATGCAGTGGAGGCCTGGGGCTGTTGAAGACCTAACTCTGAAGATCTGCTCTGGGAGCACAAACTTCCACTGCATGGTGCTCTGGTGATTAGGGGGGTTGGAAAGCGAAGAATACCTGGAGAGACTGAGATTCCAGCCACTTGTGAAAAATGGGGATCCACACCCAACTGCTCTGGGACAAAAGAAAGGCAGGCAGTCTGAGAGAATTCCTAACGGCAAGAGAGCTCCTACAGGGGCAAAGATTGCACAGAGCTTACTGCTCAGGAGAAAGGACAGGTAGACAAAATTGTCTCGGTGCACTGTGCCCAGCACATTGGGAACTTTCAAGATCTTCAGGCACTCCAGCCCCCTGGCTGGCTAGGCAGCTCCACGGCCCCCATCCATGATATGCAACAGCCTTCCTCCCAGCCAGCCTGCACCTGGCGGGCAAACTGGCAAACCCGGCGCTGCCATCAGGCCAGCCAGAAGGAAGCCCTGCCTACTGCAGCTACAAATGCAAAGCATAGAAACTTATACCAAGGGTTCTGGTAGTGGTGACAGGCACAGCAGCCAGGAAGAAGGAAACAGCTATTTCCTCCCGCAAGGGAACCAACACCACTTCCCTGAAAGCCCCAAAATTGCTCCAGGGGCTGAGCAGCTCCACAGAGTAGAGCTTCTGGGAACTAGAGGGCGCCACATACAAACATGAAACATCAAAGGCACCTGGTTCAAAGCAAAATCCTATATACACCAGAAAAAGAGTCAAATGAAACCGATCTCATGAATATTTCTGAAAGCGATTTCAAAATAAAAATGATAAACATGCTTATGGAGGTACAGAAAAATATTCAGTAACTCAGGAATGAATTCCGGTAGGAGATCCAATCATTACAGAACACAGAATCAGAAATGAAACATACAATGGAAGGTTTTAAAAGAAGATTAGATCCGGTGGAGGGAATGATAAATAAAATAGAAATTAGAGAAGAGGAATACAAAGAAGCTGAGGCACAGAGATAAAAAAGGATCTCTAAGAAGAAAGAATATTGAGAGAACTATGTGACCAATCCAAAAGGAACAATATTCACGTTATAGGGGTACCAGAAGAAGAAGAGAAACAAAGAGGCATAGAAAGTGCCTTTGAAGAAGTTAATTGCTGAAAACTTCCCCAATTTGGGGAAGGACGTAAGTTTCTCAGGCCATGGAGGTGCACAGATCTCCCAACACAAGGGACCCAAGGAAGACAACACCAAGACATATAATAATTAAAATGGGAAAGATCAAGGATAAGGACAGACTATTGAAAGTAGCCAGAGAGAGAAATAAGATGATACACAAAGGAAAGCCCATCAGGCTATCAACAGACTTCTCAGCAAAAACCTTACAGGCCAGAAGGGAGTGGCATGATATATGTAATGCAATGAAGCAGAAGGGCCTTGAGCCAAGAGTACTTTATCGGGCAAGATTAATATTTAAATATGAAGGAGGGATTAAACAATTTCCAGATAAACAAAAGCTGAGAACTTACCTCCCCCAAATCCTCTCTACAGTGTATTTTGGAGGGACTGCTATAGATGGAAGTGTTCCTAAGGTTTAATAGCTGTCACCAGAGGTAATAAAAAGGGATAGAAAAAGAGTAGAGATATGAAACCTGATATATAAAGAATGGACGAGGAAGAAAAGAAGAGGGAAAAAAAAGAACCTTTAGATGGTGTTTGTAATAATATATTAAGTGAGTTAAGTTAGAGTCTTAGATAGGAAGGAAGTAACCCTTGAACTTTTGGTAACCACGTATCTAAAGCCTGCAATGGCACTAAGTACATACTTATTGATAATCACCCTAAATGTAAATGGTCTGAATATACCAATCAAAAGACAGAGAATCACTGAAAGATAAAAAAACAAGACCCAACTATATGCTGCCTACAAGAGACTCACTTCAAACCTAAAGACATACACAGATTAAAAGTGAAGGGATCGAAAAAGATATTTCACGCAACTAATAGACAGAAAAAAGCAGGAGTTGCAGCATTTGCATGAGACAAAATAGATTGCAAAAAAAAAAAGTCACAAGAGACAAAGAAAGCCATTACATAATGATAAAGGGGTCAAGCCAACAAGAAGATAAAACCATTATAAATATCTATGCACCTAACACAGGAGCACCTACATATGTGAAACAAATACAAACAAAATTAAAAGGGGAAATAGAATGCAATATATTCATTCTAGGCGTCTTCAACACTCCACTTACTCCAAACGACACATCAACCAGACAGAAAATAAGTAAGGAGACAGAGGCACTGAACAACACATTAGAACAGATGGACCTAACAGACATCTATAGAACTCTACACCCAAAACCAGCAGAATACACATTCTTCTCAAGTGCACATGGAACATTTTCAAGAATAGATCACATACTAGGCCACAAAAAGAGCCTCAGTAAATTCTAAAAGACTGAAATTTACCAACCAGCTTCTTGGACCACAAACGTATGAAACTAGAAATAAATTATGCAAAGAAAATGAAAAATCCCACAAACACATGGAGGTTTCACAACATGCTCCTAAATAACCAATGGAACAATGACCACATAAAAACAGAGATCAAGCAATATATGGAGGGAAACGACAACAATAATTCAACACTGCAAAATCTGTGGGATGCAGTGAAGGCCGTACTAAGAGGGAAGTATACAACAATACAGGCTTACCTCAGGAAAGAAGAACAATCCCATATGAACAGTCTAAACTCAAAATTAATGAAACTAGGAAAAGAACAAATGAGGCCCAAAGTCAGTAGAAGGAAGAACATAATAAAGATTAGAGCAGAAATAAATAAAATCAAGAAGAATAAAACAATAGACAGAATTAACAAAAGCAAGAGCT